TGGAAGCTGTCCGTGCGCACCCTGTCGCTCTCGCCGGGCTGGGGAGCCCTTCCTGGCACGAAGGGCCCGCCGTAGGCGACATACTCCCGCGCGCTCGGCAAGTACCCGGCAACTCGGGCCCGCAGGCCATCCACCGACGGGTCTGCCGGGCACCTGGAGGAGGAGGGGGAGGTGTACTACAGCACCAAGTTTTGCCACCAGGAGGAGCCTCGGAGAAGGCACACGGAGAAGGCACACATGAGGTGCACAAGGAACGCTAGTCGAAGATCCACTGAGGGACCCCAGGAGCATCCAGCCCCTTTTCGAAACCAGAGCGGATATTATGCTAAAGTTTTGACTATACCATGTAACGCCCCTCACGGGGGTAGAAGCCAATTGGACCAAGTGTATTTGCTGGGGCGTCACGCTGTCACCCTGCTCCTCCTCATCATGCTCGTCCTCCTCCTCATCCTTCTCCTGGGGACTTCCTGCGGCCTCTTGGAACCTCCTGGGCTCTCCTAGGGTATCCTCAGCCCTCCAGGGGCGTCCGCAGCGTTCTGGAACTTTTGGGTCGTTCAGGATACGCCCGGAGCGTGATGGGACCTCCTGGGGCCTTGTGGGACCACGCGGGGCATCCTGGGACCTCCTGGAGCGTCCTGGAGCCTCCTTAGGATTCCCACGGCCTCCGGGGACGTCCTGAAGCCTCCTGGAGCTTCCTAATGCCTCCTGAGACCTCCTGGGGCCTCTTGGCGGCTCTCTAAGAAGCCACGCGCGGGGCCTCAAAATTGGCGACAGTTTCAAGGATGGGAGCCTTCCCATTGAGAAAGAGGGCGCGGTGGACATTGAAAAATGACGACAAATACACACTTGAGGCCCAAAACCGTGCCAGGCACCCCCCCCCCGCCATTCCCGGTCCTGGATGCGATTTGCCGCCTCCCCGCTGTCCCGCCGGTCCCCGGGAGGGCTAGTTTTCTCGTTTTCGCTGATAAGAAACACTTCCCCCCTCTCGGCGGTGACGGAGGGCAGGCGGCGGGGGAGAGCAGGTTGGCAGGGTGGGCACGGAGAGCAGGCGGAGGGGATCGGCTGGTTGGCGGGATGACGGGGTGGGCGGCTGGGCTGGTTGGCTGACGGGTTGGCTAGGTGGCGGGGTGGCTGGGTGGGCTGGCTGGCTGGTTGGACGGGTTGGCAGGTTGAGCTGGCTAGGGCAATTGGTTTCGATGACATGGGGTCGCCCCCTCCACCCCCTGTCGTTTCGCTAATTTGGTATCGACCGTTTGTGCCGCCTATCCGAGGTTGCCCGCTCTTTCAGAGCTCCCTCGTCACAAGAAGGTCGCGACGACCGATTTCTACTCGCTGTTTCGGGCTGGGCTTCCACGGGCCGTTGGTTCAAGGGGCTAGCCATTTTGGCTCAAGGGTCCAAAACACATAGGATTTTTCACAGGCCCCATACTGCTCTTACATTCCTACTGCTCTTACATTCCGATTTAGAAGTGCGCCACTTGCATTCTCACCGAGGATCTTGCATACATCATGGCTTCTCGTGTTCCCCTCAAGTTGGATGGAGAGTTGGAACAGGCTGCTTCGCCTCCGCCGACGACAAAACAAACTCGCAGAGCCGGCACCCCCGTCAAGGACGTTTTGCAGCCCCCTGCTGGTAGAGCAAAGCAACATCGCATCCACAGTCCACTACATGAGATGGATGGCCTGGACGATCTTCAAGCCGTACCTCAACAACTACCCGACGATGACCTTACCGCAGCCGCAGGTTCACAATCGGGTAACGATACGGATGGCCTAACAGTTGGGCAATTTAAGCAAATATTGCGAGACCAGCTTCAACCAATCCAGAACGATATTCGTGCGATCAAGCAGCACGGCGTTTCGCAACAAGACCTGCGGAACGCGGTGGAGCCTTTGAAGACAGCTGTCGATGACATCACCGCACGCGTTGCCGTTCTCGAGTCGCTTCCACATCGTCCAGATGCTGATTCTGCGACTGGTTCCGCACGCAGTCTGGCTTCCACAGTTGAGGCGAAACTCAATGAGATCGAGCGCCAAATGGCGGAACTCACCACGAACAAGCAGTATGAGTGCAATGCTGTCATTGGTGGATTGGGTAACTTCGATACCTTGCGCGACGCGTCTGCATGGATCAATGAACAGGCGCTTCATTTCGGAGCTCCGGAGCCTAAGGAGACCTTCATCAAAGGCGACGCGTTCCAGCAGATCTTCTTCGCAAAGTTTGACACGGCCAGTGCCCGGGACACATTCGTCACAATCCTGGGGAAAGCTCAATTGAAACATCAAGGAAATGTGATTTGGACGCGTCCAGACCAACCTTTGGAAAAAAGGGTCCCAGAGAGCTTCTTGTTCAGTTTGCGTAAGACATTCTTGGGATGGGGTTATTCCAAAAGCGAGGTACGTGTGGATACTCTTGAACAGAAGCTCAAAGTAGCCAAAGAACCTGTGTGTCACGTACTTGTCGCCGGGTCCGCTCTCCAGGTTACGTGGTGTGGAGCATGGGCTGCTTGGGGCGATCTCACAAACAGCCCGGAGGTGTCTGACCTCACCGATCGCGCTAATGGGGCCCTCCAGCGTGCTAAAGGCAGCGGCAAGGGAAAGAAGGGCAACCACTAGGAAATACGACGGCGCATCGGCACTACAAGTACGACGAGTACGGGCAAATGGGTAACATTTCCATGTTCGCCAGTACTGTGTGGACGAATTGCCTCCTGGAATGTCGAAGGCATCAGCCCGGAGAAGCCACACAAGTTGTACGAGATAACGAAGCACATGTCAGAATTAAAAATCGGTGTGTTGTGTCTTCAAGAGACACAGTGCCGTGGGTCACAGATTTTGGAACACGAGGGATACTTATTTATTCTTTCTGGGACGGAGCACGACAGCAGAGAATATGCAGGAGTCGGGTTCGTAGTGGCACCTTGGATGAGACACGCTGTCAAAGGTTACCTACAAAAGGACAACAGAATGGCCAGCATTCGGCTCCGGGTATCTGGTGGAATTCTTACGTTGATTACAGTCTACGCTTGGACCAACGAGCATCCGTATGATATCCGGCACGATTTTTTCACCGATCTGACGGCATTCGCCACCAAATGCAAATCTTATGGGCCAACCGTCCTGCCGGGGGACTTCAACGCGAGGCTTCTGCGACGACGTGCCGGAGAAAGGAAAGTCATAGGACCTTATCCTTTCGAGAATCTTACCGGGAACTGGGAGCCAACGTCAAACCGAGAATTACTATTGGAATTGTGTGGTGCCTTGGAAGCGTGCGTTGCGAATACATTTTTCGACGCAAGACTCGAAGCTAAAGCAACTTACCGCGATCTGGGCACCCATCCAGCAGAACCAGTACAACCAGGCCGGTTCGAACAATTGGACCATGTCGTAGTTGAGCGAAGTTGGTTCAGCAGCGTTACGGCTATCTGGAGCGATCGGTGGAGGGCGCTCCAATCGCATCACTTCGTGCAGATAGTGGACCTCGACGTAGACATCCCCAAAAAGGAACGCTCAACAAGAACAGCCACAGCAGATCTGACGACACTACAAAACAAGGACATCGCAGATACATACGCTGATGCCTTTGTTCACAATTGGGAAAGCAACCCGCCATGTACAGATCTGGAGTCCAGGGCAAAATCCGTGGCTACATGCATGCTGGGATCTGCACAACATGTTCTGCCAACCATCTCCGTGCAGAAGCGCCGGCCGTGGATTACAACGAGAACGCTACATCTTATCGAAGAGCGGAATCGCCGTAGAAATGCTGGGGCGGATGCACAAGTCATGAAAGGCCTCAACAAGCAGATACAACTTTCGGCACGTGCCGACAGGAAAGCGTGGCTGGAAGAAGCAATAACACAAAACGGATGTCAAGCTATTCGATCACTCCGGAAAGGGCGGCCGATGAAATATGGACGTCTACGGGATACCCAGGGTAATCTAGTTGACGCAGAGGAGCGAGCCGAAACGATGGCAAACTATCTGGAAAAAGAACAATGGAAATTATGTCATGAGGGAGAACAGCTTCCCAACCTAGCGGAGGACAGCAGCTTCTTACCCATCGACGTTGGCAGCATCAATTTGGAAGAGGTTCGACGAGCAGTCAAACACTTGAAGGTGCAGAAAGCGGCCGGGAATGATGGAGTACCCCCTGGTCTATGGCACGCGCTATGGAGGAACAGCGCGGCCCTAGAGATATTAAGACAGCTGTGTGACGATTGTTGGCAGCAGAAAGACATACCAGCGCATTGGCGAGAAGCGTCGGTTGTATCAATATTCAAAAAAAGGCGACACATCCGAGCCATCCAACTATAGGCCCATATCCCTGTTAGCGGTGGGCTATAAAGTTTTGGCCAGTATAATTTTACACCGACTCAAGACTGGAGGCGCGGAAGAAAAACTACGAGAATCTCAATATGGATTCCGGCCTGCCCGGAGCACCAGCGACGCACTATTCTTAGTGCGAAGACTCATTGACGCTGCACTGGAGGACAAAAGTGGTAAACTGCTCCTGCTGTTGCTAGACTGGAGCAAAGCTTTTGATCGTATCAGACCAGCGGGGCTACTGTTCGCACTCCACCACTTCCGAGTACCACACGCCATGCTGAACATGATTGCCGCGATCTACAAGGCGCGCAAGTATGTCGTCAAAGATGGGGCAACAACATCATCGCAAAAGTGTCAACCAGCTGGAATTGCACAAGGTTGTCCTTTATCTCCTTACCTGTTCGTAATCGTTATGTCGGTGCTTCTCGAGGCCGTCGACAAGGACTTCCACGCGCAGCCGGGCATCTTCAAGAATAAGCCGTATGTGGTTACTAATGACGTGCTCTACGCCGACGACACACTGCTCGTGGCACAGTGTCCGGAGTCACTTCAGAGGCATTTTCATATCGTGTCAAACATTGGGAAAACTTTTGGGCTCGACCTGAACGCTGGCAAAACATTATTATTGAAAATCAGATCGGATGCTACGGTTTTGGGGCCGAATGGAGAAAAAATCCAATCTAAAGACGACGTTGTTTATCTTGGTGGCCTCTTAAGCGCAGATGGTCGGCCCAAGGCTGAAATAACGCGCCGCCTCGGAGAAGCAAAAGGAGCATTTGACAAATTATGTGCTGTGTGGAACCACGCAAACATGACCAAGCAGCACAAGCTACGAGTACTGCAAGCCTGCGTCTTCTCCAAATTACTGTACGGATTGGAATCTTGTGTATTATTGCAAGCAGACAAGAACAATCTGGATGGATTTCAAGCCAAATGCTACCGCAGAGTACTGAAGATCCAACCGGCATTCCTATCTTTCTTCAGCAATCAGCGCGTCCTGCTTGAAGCACAATCTCCTCCATTGTCAACTACATTATTGGAGAGGCAGCTTAAATATTACGGTAAATTAGCAAGGGCACCTTCGCAATCGTTGCCGAAAGCAATGGTGTTCCAGCCAGGCGAGGCGCACTCCCTAATGCCACGGGAATGGCGGTCCCTGAAGAATCGAGGCAGACCGCGCTTGCAATGGACCAGTTACATGCACGCCCGCGCGCTGAGAGTCGCAGGAGACGACCCCGACCGCCTGCAGATGTTATTGAATTCTCCTCCAAAGGAATGGGATGCGGCTGTCAAAGAGTATTGTAAACAGTCAGTGTGACTGCGATGAGTTCCCTCGCTCTGCCCATTCGCCTCCCTCCTCCCTGTCCCCTCCCCGCCCCCCCCACCCTCTTCAGACGGAGTGTGCTGCTTACCCTCGCGCGCCATTTGCACAAAGCTTGCAAGTGGTTGTTGGCCGAGGCCCAGTGACATTTTCCACGAATGCATGTGCACATTTCCTGTCGATGCGCCGTCTGGGCGCGGCTCTTTGTTGTTGTTGTTGTTGTTCCACGGGCCGTCTTCGGGGCCTGGTACCATCGGAAAACGACCCGGGGCGAGAAAGCGGCCCTGGGGATGGGGCCAATGCCATGATGAAAATAAGCCGTCAAAAATTTGGGCATGGGCCAGATCTTGGTGTAATGAAATTTCCAGCCTGACGGAAAACCGACATGTGCACCATGATCTGCCCAAAACTGGACAGGTGGAGACCTTGTGGTGTTGTGTCCGCCAACGTGCTGCAAGGCACCGAGTGGAGTGCCCTCAGGTCCCTTAGGTGCCGTGTATCGTAGACGCCTATGGCGAGTCACCGCCTGCTGTAGGCGTCTTCGGAAAAAATTGGCGTCACAAGTGGAACCTACCCGTACTGCATCCTGAATCCGTGGGGGCCCTAAGACACCAGTGGGGGTTCAGACATTGCGAGCGGGAACAAGCGAAGCAAACTCACAACTGTGAAACTATAGCCTATACCTGCCCAGATCGATGGGCAGCTGGAGTGTAGTCAAAGTTCTGCAACAAGGAATATTGGGGCCGAAGGAAGCCTCGAACCACCTCCAAAACCAGCACCATTACCCAGCACCAGCCCTTTGACACTTTCATTGCGTGGGGTTCGGAATTTGTCACTGCTTCTCCCCTCGATACCTTTGGACCTGCACCAGATCACCCTTGCGGAGAGAGCGCAGCTGCAGTGGGCTGAGCTCTGCCTGGGTGCCGCCGCTGCCAGCCATCACCGTAACGAGGACGCTCGTCATGTAGCCCACGAAGTGGTACTCCGTGACGTCCTCGAACCCGTCCATGCCAGACACGAACCCGTCCTTGTAAGAGTCCCAGTCGTCCTCTCGGAAGAACCCCGAAGTAAGGCGTCGCAGGGGCCACAGCATGCACCAAGACCTCTATGTTTGGAGGCGGAACGCCAAGACGCAGTCCCTGGGTGTCGCAAGTGGCCCCTGAGAACCCCCCTGCAGGGTACGTCTGTACTGGGGTACATTGAAGGACCTCCGGCGTCCCAGTTCTCGTACGCACACTTGGGGCAAGTTCTTCGCCCAGGTGATGTGTTGGTCCTCGGGCCTTTCATCCCCGCCCTGCAAAGTTTGAGGCTACATACATATACGTGTATACATATATATATATATGTATATCAGACAGAGGGGGCCGAACGGTCATTCATTGTCCCTGGGTGCGTGGCTGCAGTGGGGATCCGTGGTGACAATTATGCTTGTTGCGGTGTTGTTGTTTGTTGTCGTCGTCCCAGCCGCGACCCACCCGCGACCGACCCCGCGACCGACCCCGCGACCCACCCCGCGACCCACCGCGACCCACCCCGCGACCCACCCCGCGACCCAACCCGCGACCCACCCCGCGACCCACCCCGCGACCCATCCTCGACCCACCCGCGACCCACCCGCGACCCCCTTGCGACCCACCCGCGACCCACCCCGCGACCCACTCGCAATCCACACACAACCCACCCGCGAGCGACCCAACAGAGACCCACCTGCGACACAGCCGCAACCCATTGGCGACCCACCCGCGAACCACCCGCGACCTGCCCACATTGGTTTAATAAGAAAATCGGCGCCTGCAGCGGGCCTCTGTAGAATATGCGGAAATTTCGCGCCTACGGCGGGCTGCTCCAGGAGTCTCGCAGACTGCCGACGTCCCAACCGCCCCCTCACTCTTATCCGCATCTGCGGGGTGCTAGTGTACATGTCTATATATATATACATATATAGATAGATATATATATACATATGTGTTACATATATATATACATACATACATACATACACATTCATACATACATACATACATACATACATACATACATACATACATACATACATATATACATACATACATACATACATACATACATGCATGCATGCATGCATACATACATGCATGCATGCATGCATGCATACATGCATACATACATACATACATACATACATACATACATACAGATCAGAATGAGGGGCCGAACGGTCATTCATTGTCCCTGGGTGCGTGGCTAAAGTGGGGATTCGTGATGAGGATTATGATTGTTGCGTTGTTGTTGTTTGTTGTCGCGGTCCCAGCCGCGACCCACCCCGCGACCCACCCCGCGACCGACCCGCGACCCACCCCGCGACCCACCCGCGACCCAACCGCGACCCACCCGCGACCCAACCCGCGACCACCCCGCGACCCACCCCGCGACCCATCCTCAACCCACCCGCGACCCACTTGCGACCCACTTGCGACCCACCCGCGACCCACCCCGCGACCCACCCGCGACCCACCCGCGACACATCCGCGACGCAGCCGCGACTCATTTGCCACCCACCCGCGACCGACCCACATTGGTTTAACGAAACAGTCGCTGCCCTGCGGCGGGCTTTTCCAGAGCCTCGCAGACTGTCGACGTCCCCACCGCCCCCTCACTGTTATCAGCATTTGCGGGGTGCTAGTATATACAAGCAGACAGACAGATAGACAGACCGGCAGGCAGGCAGGCAGGCAGGCAAGCAGACAGACAGAAAGACACACAGACAGACAGAGAGGCAGACAAACAGACAAACAGACAGACACGCAAAAAGGCAGGCAGGCAGGGAGGCATATTCATATACATACATACATACATACATACATACATACATGCATACGTACGTACGTACATACATACATACATACATACATACATCTGTATTAAGGTACATACATGCGTGCATTCATGCATGCATGCATACACAGATACATATATCAGAGTCAGGGGGGCGAACGGTCATTCATTGTCCATGGGTGCGTGGCTGAAGTGGGGATCCGTGGTGAGGATTATGTTTGTTGGGTTGTTGTTTGTTTGTTGTCGTCGTCCCACCCGCGACACACCCGCGACCCATCCCGTGACCCACCCCGCGACCCACCCCGCGACCCACACCGCGACCCACCCGCGACCCACCCCACGATCCACCCACGACCAGCGCCGCGACCCACCCCGCGACCCACCCTGCGACCGACCCTGCGACCCACCCCGCGACCCACCCGCGGCCCACTCGCGACCCACCCGCGACCCACTTGCGACCGACCCGCGATCCACACCGCGACCCACCCGCGACCCAACAGAGACCCACCCGCGACCCACCCGCGACACAGCCGCGATCCATTTGCCACCCGCGAACCACCCGCGACCTGCCCACATTGGTTTAACGAAAAAATCGGCGCCCGCGGCGGGCCGTTGTAAAATGTGTGACATGTTGGCGCCTACGGCGGGTTTCTCCAGGAGTCTCGCAGACTGCCGACGTCCCAACCGCCCCCTCACTCTTATCCGCATATGCGGAGTGCTCATGTATATTTATATATTTATGAATATATATATATATATACATATATATATGTATATATTCATATATTCATATATACATATACATATACACAAATATACATATATACATATACATACATACATACATACATACATACATACATACATACATACATACATACATACATGCATGCATGCATACATACATACATACATACATACATACATACATACATACATAATATACACATATGTATATACGTACATACATGTTTATACACATATATATACATGCATACATACATACATACATACATACATACATACATACATACATACATACATACATATATACATGCATACATGCATGCATACAAATATACATATATATATATATATATATATATATATATATATATATAACCCGGAACCCCCCCCCCCCACCACCCCACCCCCCCGGACCCCCCCCTAAACCGGATCCTCCTCCAAGGGAACGCCCTTTCGGACGTCTCGGCGGCCCCCTGGACGCCGTTGGAAAAGGTTCGGTGGCCCTTCCGGGCCTCCCAGGGCGCCTTGCTGGGCCTTGCGAGCCGACCGAAGGCGATTAGAGGGGTCGTCGGGGAGGCGCAAGAGAGACCCAAGACAGCACAAGAGCGCTCCAAGAGGAACCTCGATGGTCTGAAGACGGCCCAAAGAGGCCCCCAAAACACCCCAAGAGGCCGTTAAGAGAGCCCCGAAGAAGCCAAAATCGTCACATTCCCTCAGGAAATACATTTGTTGTGCATATCCGCTTTTTGGGTCTTCGCAGCGTCCAAGACGGCCCAATGGGCCCCCAATCTCGCCCCAAGACGGCCCGGGAGGCCCCCTAGAGGGTTTGAAGGCGGCCCAACAGGGCCCCAAGACTGCCCCAGAGAGCCCCGAGACTGCCCACAAAAAGCCCAAGATGCCCCCAGAAGGCTCCCAAGAGAGACCCACGAAAGCCATGGGATACCTCCTGGCTTCAGAAGACCTATGGAGGGCCCCAGCTCCCCAAGGCGGCCCAAGAGGCCCCCAGGACGGCCCAATTGTGCCCGAGGACGGCACGAAAGAGCACCAAAAACGACCAGACGGCGTTCTCCTACGAAATACATCAAGCTGACCCAACGATCTTGGTTCCACGCTTGAGGCTCGAGGTTTCAGTAGCTCCCCGATCAGGGGAGACAGGCAATGGATCTAGATTCGAAATTCGACGATCGAAGATTTCCTGAGTGCCTCGAGCCCTCCAGACATTCGGGAAGCGATCAAAAATCGATGTGTTCGGAGCTGGGGTGACTTCTTCGGCGTGTCATGGGAACGCTCCTTACTTCCTCAAACGACCTTCGCGCGCGAAAAAATCAGCATGATTCCCCCACTCCTGCGCACAAGCGTGCCAGCGCATCGTCCGAAAGCGGTGTCAGCAGGCACCCAGGATATCCGAAAAATGGGCGGGTCGCCCGTCCAGGCCTCGAGGTCCTCCCTGCTGAAGAAAGCGATGATGGATTGCTTTGCCAGGGGGGCGTCGGGAACAAGGCGCATGGCGCGAAGCGCCAATGCAGTCTTGTGTGTATGTGTATGTGTATATATATACATATACATACATACATACATACATACATACATACATACATACATACATACATACATACATACATACACATATACATATATAAGACGGAAGCCGAACGGTCATTCACTGTCCCTGGGTGCATGGCTGAGGGGACCCGTGGTGAGGATTATGATTGGTGTTGGTGTTGTTGGTCGTGGTGGTGTTGGTGTTGTTGTTGTTGTTGGTGTTGTTGGTGGTGGTGCTGGTGGTGTTAGTGGTGTTGCTGTTGGTGGTGACGTTGTTGTTGGTGTTGATGGTGTTGGGTGTTGTTGGTGTTGTTGTTGTTGATGGTGTTGGTGTTGTTGGTGGTGTTGGTGTTGTTGCTGCTGATGTTGTTGGTGGTGTTGTTGTTGTGATGGGTGTTGTTGGTGGTGGTGTTGTTGTTGGTGTTGCTGCTGTTGTTGCTGTTGCTGTTGTTGTTGCTGCTGTTGCGGTTGATGTTGTTGTTGTCGTTGTTGTTGTTGCTGCTGTTGTTGTTGTTGGTGTTGCTGTTGGTGTTGTTGTTGTTGAACTCTCATTCTTGAAGAATAATTATTGTTGATCCCCCCCCACCGGTGCACATTGATTTTTTTCGATTGACGTGCCACCCCCGGGGCTCGCACCTTGTTTTTTCTCAAGGAAAGTCTTCCTGCTCAAACTGTGCCCCTGCCCCCCGGGCTACAACAACAACGGCTCCCGCCTGAGACTTCCTCGATTTTTACTCAGGACCCCCGCTCCCGCCTGAGACTTCCGCGCAATTTACTCAGGAAAGGCGCTCCCGTCTGAGACTTCCTCGCAATGTAATCAAGACCCCCGCTCCCGCCTGAGACTTCCGTGCAATTTACGTGGGAACGGCGCTCCCGCCTGAGACTTCTTCGAATTTTACTCAGGACCCCCGCTCCTGCCTGACATTTCCGCGCAATTGACTCAGG